GACGACGACGGCGGCGGTGGTGGTGGTGGTGGTTCTCCCCTCGATTCAGATAGCAGCCACCAAAGCCTCCCTCTGTGGTAACACGCCAATAAAACACAGACACACACTTTGAATGACGCGACACTCAACGATCTTCGGATAGTCACTCTGGCTGAACAGCAGATGCAATACTTTACATTGTGCGGTCATTGCACCACCAAGTGTTCTTAGATAATCTCCATGCTTTACATTACCTTGCATGCACACCTACGTTGCTTCCCCTTTGTCTGCCTGGAAGCTGTCTGCTCAGACCAGCTTTTTTTTTTCGTGCAAAAGTCGAGGCCGAGTGGGAGTAAACCGGAGCGCGGTCGACGGCCCTTTAAAAATCAGAGGAGCCGCGTTTCACATCCAGGAATAGTCCGTCTGGATGTTTGCTCTGCGTTCCGGGGTGGGAAAGCTGCTTTGTTGAGGAGATTATTGTCGTTTCTCTGTCAGTCACGAGTGCAATACTCCACACTGAAACACTGACACTGATATGGTTGTATGTTTTTAATTTGTTTTTTTCTTTCTTACCTGTATGCTTTACTGATCGTGCTCAAAAATATCAACATCGGGAAAAGAAAGGTTATGACGACACGGCATGAACTTGGCGGATTAGTGCTTGAAATAGTTCCCCAATAATAAGCATGTGAAATGTAATCTGTGTTTTGATTCCTTCAAAGGTATTCACCAGCAATGCGCCTGCATAAACTCTCCCATACTTGTTTAGGAAAAGAATGGATGCAAGAGGAGAGAAATCTTAACTGTTGTTCATTTTCCACATGATTGACACTTTTGGTTTATGGGTAACTCTTTTTTTTTTTTTTTCTTTCCAGAGGATTCACGTAACATTTAACAGATAAAACAGTCATTTGTAAAAAAATTATTGAAGTTTGATATCAGAAAAAAAAACACAAATCCTCTGCTGCGGTATTATCCTTTAGAGATCTTAATTCAGGGTCTGTATTAGTCTAAATGTGCTACTGTGTAACTCTTATGATTTGATTTAACCAGATTTGTTTTACTCCAAGCTCTTATTTTGGTTTTTTTTTCAGTTTTCTTGTCATCTGTATCAATTTCAGAGTTAATTCACACTGCAAGTTATGGAATCATCTGTTTTAGATTGCTCATCAATTAGACTTGATTATGAAATCTGAACTGTTACTGTTTTAATACCTGTAGATTTTTTGTGGCTTTGTTTTTTTTTTTTTTGTTTTGTTTTTGTTTTTTTGTTTTTTTCTCGTTTCATTTGCTTTTTTAATTTTGTGCTACACTAGTTTGCCATGTAGCAATTGCACTGTGCAATATTTACAGTATGAGGACTGGGAAAACTAACTCTATGGATGTGATGTCTCTTTACAGTTTGCGATAGTGTTTCCTCTCTAGTTCTCAGTGATTTAGGTGTGACCAAGCCTTCTCTACTTTGTCACATTAAGCGGGTTTTCCAGGTGACTCTTTTGGTGAGTGTCAAAATAAGACTTTATGGTGTATTATTGTTAAGATTCACTTTGAATTAAAAAAAAAATCTATTGATGCACTTCTCTCTGACTTGGTGTGTTCTTCCGTTATTCACATTCACACAGGTGCTTTTTTTCTTGTCTCGACACACGGGGCTGATTCCAGGTTTAGGTTTTAGCTAATTGGTGAATCACTTAAGAGTATAAAATGGTGGAAATGGTGGCAGTTACAGTCATTCAAAACACAGGAATTGTTACACATGATATGGAATTGGAGATCCATCCATCATCTATACACCGCTTAATCCTCACTGGGGTCACAGGGTTCTGGAGTCTATCCCAGCTGATTCAGGGCGAAGGTTGACTGAAGGTTATTCTACAACAGCTGTTTCATCTACAGGATCTGCATTTGACGTAACAGGACTGAGAGTCATTGTGTGTGAGCATGAGACAGCAGCAACACAGTTACCTGCTCTTGAAAACCATGAATTCATACCATTTCTTGTGGTCAAAAACTTGACAATTTACCTTTAAATCTAGTGTATGCCACATAGTCCAGAGACCTTT